AAAAGAAAAGAAAAGAAAAGTACAACAGCTACAATTAAAAAAAAATTAGTAGCAAGGTATGTCGTCAGATTTGAGCAGAAAGCAGAAAGAATCCACAAACTTGAAGGCAGGCCAATAATGAGTATTCAGGCAGGGGAATAAAATGAAGAATCAATGAAGGAAAATGTCTGGAAACTCCTGAGTCGTGTGGCACATTGTGAAGATTCCCGACAAACACACACTGGGAGCCTCAGAAGGAAAGAAAGAAGAAACAGGGCCTGAATTATCTGAAGGCATAATGGCCAGAAATTTGTAGAAATGATGCATCCAAGAAGGTCAACAAATTCCACCGTGCTTAAAAAGACCGACGCCTGCACACGTCACAGTCAAGTTAACAATGTTAAAGGCAAGGAAGAAAGTTTGAAAGCAGCAAGAGAAAAGCAGTACAGTGAGTCGTGATGTGGCTAAGACGTAGATTCCCCAGGAGAGCCCACGGAGGCCGCAGTGGGCTGTGACGTCTGGGAAGTGTTGGAAGAAACAACTGCCAACAAATCTCTTCCTAGCAGAACTGTCCTTCAAAAATGAAGACCAGAAAATCCAGAGATAATCCACACCCCCATGAAAACTTACAGGTGGATGTTTATAGCTGCTTTATTCGTAATTGCCAGAACTTGGAAGCAGCTGAGCTGTCCTCACTGGGTACAGGGATAGGTAAGATGTGCTGAACAAATGTGCCGGGGAGAGAGGGAGGGAAGGCCTAAGAGGCAGAACTCAGATGGTTTTGAGAGCACTAACACTGCTCTATTTGATACTGTGATGGTGGATTCACATCACTGTGCATTTGTCCAGACCCACAGAACGTCCCACACCAAGAGGAGCCTCATGAACCGTGTGTTCTGGGTGGTAATGATGGGCCAGTGTCGGTCCACCAGTTGTAACTGATGTGCCACTCTGTGGGGAATTTACATCATGGAGGGGTGTGTGGGCTTTGAGGGCAGATGGGAAATCTGTGCCCTCCACTCACTTTCGCTGTGAGTATAGAAGTGCTCTAAAAAATAAGCTCTGTTATAGGGCGGCGCCCATAGCTTAGTGGGTAGGGTGCCAGTCACATACACCAAGGCTGGCAGGTTTGAACCCGGCCCGGGTCAGCTAAAAACAACAATGACAACTGCAATAACAACAACAAAAATATAGCCGGGTGTTGTGGCAGGCACCTACAGTCCCAGCTACTCAGGAGGCTGAGGCAAGAGAATTGCTTGAGCCTAAGAGTTGGAGGCTGCTGTGAGCTGTGATGCCACAACACTCTACCCAGGGGACAGGTTGAGACTCTCTCAAAAAAACAATAAATAAATAAGTAAACTTTGTTATAAAGGAAAGGAATTCTGAAGGTGGCTGTTGGTAACTGCTGCCTACCAAGGTGAATGGACTTTATGCTACCAAACGGTATACTTAAATATTGCTAAAGTGTTCAATTCCGTGTTATGTACTATGTTACCACAAGTAAATAAAAAAAAATTCTAATTGCTTCAAAACAGAGACACAGAATGGGAAAAATTATTTGTAAATCATGTATCTGATAAAGGCCTTGTGCCCAAAATAGACATAAAAATTCTTGCTACTTGGGAGGCTGAGGCAGGCAAATCACCTAAGCACAGGAGTTGGAGGTTGCTGTGAGCTGTGACTCCACAGCACTCTACCAAGGGCAATAAAGTGAGACTCTGTCTCTTAAAAAAAAAAAAAATTCTTAAAACCTCAGCAACATAAGAACAACCCATTTAAAAAATTTGCAAAAGATCTGAGCAAAGAAGACACACAGGTGGCCAGTAAAAGCAGGAGAACACATGTGCTCAATCTCACCAGTCATGAGGGAAATGCAAATTAAAGCACCTGATGTCAATTCAGACCCACTGCCGTTGTTACAGTTTAAACGGTGGATGCTAACAAGTGTCTGGGAGGATACGGAGACATTGGAGCCCTCATACACTGCTGGTAGGAGTTAAAGATGCAGTCACTTTGGAAAACAGGCCCTGTCCAGAATAGGGCAGTTTGTGGATGCAGAAAATGTATTAGTGGTTGTCTAGGACTTGGAGAGAGAGATAGGAGGCATCGGGAGGAGAATGTCCCGTGGGAGGGATGAAACATTCCAAAGTTAGATTAGAGTGATGGTTGCACCACTCTGAGAGTTTCCTAAAAACCACTGAACTGTGCACACTAACTGAATTTATGTTTATGAATTACATCTCAACGAAGTTATTCTTAAAAACAAAGCTAAGAAGGAAGAATTACCAGGTAGATTGTCTCTTCTCAGCACGACATAGGCGGGTGGGAAGCAGTGGGATGGTGGCTGATGGCCAAGTAACACATTTGATAGCTTCATGTTTGACCGAGCAGAGGTGTGCCTGCGTTCTGATTTTAATTTTAGTCTTTGCATGAGGTGGCCAAGCCAGCAATGTCATACAGAAATGGGGGAGAATCAAGAAAGTGGGTTGTCTTGAAGAGTTTTGCAAACTGATCTAAATTTTAATCAGCAATTTTCAACCATTAATAAAATATGTTGCATAAATACGTGTGCAGCAGGGCAGAGCTCTTTGTACTCAGGATAATTCATCAAGGTGGGACACACATTGCTTCCAGAGTCGTGCCGTTGGCGCCTAGATGAACCTGGGGCAAGCTAATCATTCTAATGCTGTTGTGTGCTGGGTGACAGCATGGAACCCAGGCCTGCCCTGCAGGGCAAACAGCTGCAGAGGCTGGAGATAGGACAGTGTAAAGAGAGCAGGTGGTCAGAGATGGCCAGCAGCAAGGGACCCATGCCGTCCAGACAGGGGTCACGGTGAGGACCCAGCAGTACAGGCAGCAGGGAGCAGGCATCTGGCCAGGGTCTGGCACAGGCTCAGGGAGCCACACAGCCCCGGTGATAGTGCCAGAGGAGGAAGCAGGGTACCTCCTCACAAGGCCCCCACTTCAGGCAGGAGAGCAGCAAAGGAGCAGAAGCACCAGCAGATCCACCAGGGTTTGATTGACCCCTAACAAGGACACAGCTTACTCACCAGAGCTGAGACTATCAGAGGAGCAGGACTGAGATCCACTGATTTATGGAATCCTGGAGAGATGGAGAAATTCTGGGGAAGGGTGGAAAGTGTGATGGGTGTGAGCTCCGTAGTTAGGCTTGTTTGGAAAGGGGCAGGAGTTTTGAGCCAGTGAGATGCTGACAGGCAGCTCCCCGCTGAAGGTTGAGTGCAAGGTGGCTCCCCAAGGCTCTGCCACTCATGCAGTGGCCCAGCCGGAGGCAGGGGAGCACCTGGGGCTTTGGAGCATTGGGGGGAGCAAGGACCACCCAGGGCCCTGGAGCACCTGGGGGAATGGAATACCTGGGCCTGAGGAGCATCTGGGGCTGAGGAGCACCTGAAGCTGGGGAGCACCTGGGGTTGGGGAGCATCTGGGACTCGGGAGCACCTGGGCCTGAGGAGCACCTGGAGTGGGGAGCACCTGAAGCTGGGGAGCACCTAGAGTGGGGAGCATCTGGGGCTGAGGAGCACCTGGAGTGGGGAGCACCTGGAGTGGGGAGCATCTAGGGCAGAGGAGCACCTGGAGTGGGGAGCATCTGAAGCTAGGGAGCA